CAGTGCAGAGCCCAAGCATGTGCTTGCTTTTCTGCTCCCTCTCTGGAAGGGTTTGGTTTAGGATTTTTGATTTCCCCTGGTGTTCAGCACCCCCTGCACCCCTTGCCCAGCTCTGGGGACCAGAGCTGGGGGAAGCAAAGAAAAGCTCAGTGTACAGCTTTATGCAGAGATCACCCTGAGGTATTAAACTAATTACCAGAGAGAGACATTAGTCCCTCAGGGGCTCCACTCCAGCCCTCTGCAAGCTGCAGTCCAAAGGCAGCACTGTCGCTGCCAGCCCTGCATCTCCTCCACTGGTTCTGGAATGAAAATTGCTTTAAAAGCTCTGAGAAGCTATTTGGTTCTTCTAAGTAATGGGACTGGAAAAGAAAAAGGAAAGAAGGAATGGGAACACTTTTGTTCTTGCAGGCAGGTAAATGGGGTTCAGCTTTTGAAAATATATAGGGCCTCTAGTGCTAACTGCAGGGCTGGAGTCTCCAAGGAGAGATTTCTTCCTTCAGAACCATAATAATAACAATAAATGATTAAAAAGAAAACAGTCTAAAATCTATATCTGTAGTTAACTCGGGACTCCTTCAGTGTTCAGGCCTGCTGCTGAATAAATAAATGCTTACTTGAAAAAGGAACCTCCAGCCTCCTGCAAATGAGAGGCAGGGAAGCAGTGCTCAGGGCCAGCCGTAACACGTGCAGCACAGCCAGGGGAAAATCCTGCCAGATGAGGTTATTCTGGTTTTACCCCAGATTATGGAACACCAGGCCTGGCTTCCTGCCCACCTGCTCCCATTGCAGAACCCTCCATCAGCCATGCTGCCCAATGTGCTGGTTTGGTGCAAGAGCAGAGAGTCAGGCTGGTGACCGCCCTCAGAGAGGTTTTTCTCTTCTGATGTGCCAAAAAAAGTGAATGCCAAAGCAGAGAAAACCTCCAGAAGAAACACATGAGCTCATGGCCACAAGAATTACTGTTTCCTCCCTCCCATGGAACAGCTGCTCCCAACCACTGCCGGTCACTGTGCCCTGTGGGCTGACACGCCGGGGTGCCCAGCCCCACACCAGGCAGTGAGATAAGGCTCAGGGAGGTGCCATGAGTCACAGAGGGCTGGGCAGACTTGGCAGCTGCACTGCCACACTGCCCAGCACGTGGTGCCCCAGCTCCCTGGGACACCCCAGCACCCACACAGCCTGCAGAGAGGGACAGAACAGCCGGGACGCTGAAAGGTACGTAGACTTGTCCCATCTCTGATTGGGCAAATGTGGTTTCTAGAGCATGGCTGAAATAATGCATTACTTCTTGCTTGCTGGCAGGTTAGAAGGTTGCATGGGGAAGGTTTTGGTTGTTCCTCCTTGTTGTAGGCAGGAGGTGAAGGGGAAGCCCTGTGCACTGGTATTCCTTCCATGAGGTGCAACTGTGCTGGTTTCATGGTCAGAACTAATGAACTACCTGTGTTAACAGGGATCTGTGATGTGGTGGAATCAGCTATGTGATGTGGGGTCCAGGTCAAAGCTCTTTATCCGTCACGGCTGTGGGTGAATTTGCAGGGTGTTCACTGTGCAGAGTGGGTGGTTTGTCCAAGATCAGGCTGCTGCTCAGGTTATCATGTGTTTTTTCTTGCACTGCTGAAAGAGACCCAGTCTTGCTGCCCACACAGCAGCAATAGGGAGGGAATGATTTTCTTTACAAAACTAATGGCATCATGTGGACTTGAGAAACCAGAATAGATGGAAAGGAAGAAGGACATGAGGTGGCAAGTGCTTTCTGGTAGAAAGCAGCAAACATTGGTCAACACCCCAGATAACTATTGGCTTGTACTGGGGTAGTTTTGCCATAAGATGTCCTCTCCAGCCATTTGGTGGATCCAGCAGCTGACCAAGCATTTTTATGAGCAGAGGAATTTATAAGACCTCTGGCAAACAGCCTCAAAAAGGCAAAAGCCTGGCAAAACTCAAACTCCTATTGAGACTGAAAATGGCACTGTAGCATCCTCCATTCTCCTGTGGTGGGATAAACCCTGAACACAGGGTGGATGTGCACCCACCCAACACCAGTCCTTCCTCTGCACCCCTGCATTCAGTTTTGCAGGAAAACCTTGACTGTTGGAGGGGTGACTGGATGGGTGTGGGCAGTCACCCTCTTTGGAGCCACAGCCCCACCCACACCAAAATGCTGGTGCTCACAGTCATGGACCTGCTGGGAAAGAGAGGGACGTGTAGAGCTCAAAAGCTGAAATAAATAAAAAAAAAATAGAATAGAAAAAACGAGGCAGGAGTTTGTGGGGAAGCAAAGTAAAGTTTTCCTGCAGTGCCGGGAGGCAACAGAACATTCACCTGCTGAATCCTGGAAAGCCTCTCTCAGTCTCTTCTTGACAGCAAGTAACCCAGCTGTGCTAAGTGGCACTTCCATCCAGAGCAGGCTTGGGTGGAACCTTTGCCTTACAACACCATGAACCTCTTTAGCAGTATTTGTCCAAGAACTTTTTTGTTCCTGGAATGCTTTTTAAGTAAATAAGTTTCAGGTTTATTAGACAAATAACTCTGTTTAACATACAACACAGTTCCTTCCTTTCTTCCTCTCCTGCCAGCAGGTCTCTGGCAGATGTCAGAGCACAGGTGCCTTTTATTCTGGCATAACCCTAGGAAGAAAAAAAATATTCAATGCAAACAATTATAAAATAATGTAATGTAAATGCCAGGACATGGTTACTCTCTTGTAATGAAATCGGGTTCCAGGATTTTCACCACCTAGGGACTTCACCCAATAAATTTTATCTGGGATTAAGTTGAAGATAAATAGCCCAAATAATACATCACTTCCCTAAAGCACTGGCATTTATCGGTTTATTTTTCCATTTCTCTTCCTCTGCAATGAAATCAATATGTGCACAGAAAAACCACAACTTTGGTAAAGGAGAGAACTACGCAGTGGGCCCCTGTGAGGCCAATGGTCACTGTAGAGGTGGGGACCAAATGGGGAGGGTTTTGCAAACCCGGTAGAGTTTTGGTCCACTCACTGCGTCCAAATCACAGTCCAGGTCTGAATCCTCACCAGCTCCAGGCTCTGCTCAAGGCACTGGGGGCGAAGTCAACAAGTTCCCGAAGCAAACCAATTCCCATTTTGAGCTCCTTGTGTCTTGCCAAGGGGGATTCTGAGGACTGCCCCCATTTTCTGGCCCCGTCATTAGATCAGCCACTGGAATGGGGGAGCCAGGACTGGGAGAGAGTCCCTGCATTTAACAAGCAAAACTTCATGCTGAAAGGACCAAAAGGGAAGAGCCTGGTACAGCCCCTCCAGATCCAGCCACAGGCAGTGTTCATCCTCCAGAACCTTTAAACTGTCGTTTTTGAGGTCTGTGGCTCTTCCACCAGCTCAGTGAAATGGGCTTGTTAATGCCAGCTCCAACACAAGTTTTAAAATCTGTTTCAGAGATACTGTGCTGGGGGCTAGGATGGACCAGGACAAGGCGGTGTGGGGAAGAGCTGTGGGAATCACAGACCCCCCTGACATCTCCCACAGGGACAGATTGCTGCTCACAGGCCCCTTCCTCTGGAAGGAATACCAACAGGGCAGAGAAGGGCGATGCTGCTGGGAAGCCAGCGAGCTCGGCTGATACACTATAAAAAAACACACTGTCAGGATACAGTAGGGTACAGAAATACCTTCCAAGGCCTCCTTTAAAATGCAGGCAGGTCAGTCTCCCATGGGAAACTGGTAATTCCCTGCTGGAGCAGCTCCAGCATATCCTCCTTGTTGTGGTGTCCCAGCAGATGTGGACACAGCAAAGGGGTTTCATGGGGGAGCAATGCCGGGCTCCAGACACCTGAACCATCACTGAGGGGCTGCCTAAAAGCCCCAGACAATGATGCTACAACCTGCCCCTGGCTGTATGAAAAAAGAGGAGCATCATATCAGGGCACTGAGAGGGGATGCAAGTCCGTCCTGCCCAGGGTTCAAGGCAGAACACAACACCACAGCCACGGCCAGTAACACAGCAAGCCCTGGGAGGGGACCCGGAGCAGGGCTGGGCAGGAGGCAAAGCTCTTCTGTGCTTCCTCATGACGCAGCAGCCTGAAATCAACATTCAACCCAGCCCTGCTAAAACCCGTTGCTCCTTATTTACCCATCAAACAGGAAAAGCAAGGCACTTATAGGGCTGTTCAGTTAACATCAGGCTCATTAACCAGGAGTGTTAGCACCCATCTCACGAGTGACAATTTGCCTTAGGACTCCAGAGTGGTTTCCAGGACAGACCTTCACCAGACTGCAGCACGGAATTTCTAAGGTAGGAGTGGGTCCCCAGCCCCTGGGAGCCCAGTGTGTGGGGTGGCGGGTGCCTGTCCCAGCGGTCAGAGTGGCAGTGGGAGAGAGGGCAGCAGATGGACTCGCTCGGCTAGGAAATAGTTCATGCTCCAAATTACAACCACACCCCATCCCTGTGGGTGAAGTCGCTCCAAGATTTGGCCGAGTGGGAATATTTCTGGTTTTAAGTTGGGTGTCTGCAAAGCTGCCTGTTCTGCCCAGCACAGTGGTGCCGTCCTTCTTCTTTTCTCCTTTGTATTTGAAGGAGGACAAGCTTGTTCCCAGAGGTTCTCCTGACTGGGCAAGGCCAGATCACAGCTTGTCCTCGGACAGCATTTTGCAGAACTTAATATGTAAAACTTACTTTGCATCATCCCAGAAGGAAATGCAGCAAAGCTGTGACTGAAAATATCCACCTCATCAGCAGAATTGGAAAGCCTGAGACCAAGAACACAACATGAAACAGGAGTGCAGGGGGAACCAGACAGACACAGGGAAGGGTTCTGAGACTTCAGAGGGATTGAGTTCTATCAGTGCAGCCTCCTGATACAGGCATACAGACCCAGGACTTATCAGGGTGGGACCAAGAACCTGTGCCTGATAGGAGTTTGTACATCTTTGATGACGCCTTAGCTATTACAAATACAACTAAACATAGCTATTATCTTTTCATCCAGCATCTGCCTGGCTTTGGTGGGTTACAGCTACTCTTTATGGCATTGCCTTCTTTTCCTCAGGTGACCTGTGACCACTGGCCACCCCCTCAGCTGTGCTCTCCCGCCCCATCACCATGCGGATATCAGGTGAGGGAGACATATTTACTTTTCTCTGTACATTTTCCTACAGTTCTTTATGCCTCCTTCTCATTTACATGATGCCTCCCAAGCCCTGACCTTCCCCTGCCAGGCACATGGGAAAAGGCCTTTGTGTAAGCATCAGGTTTTTACAAGATTTGTGTAGATTTCAGCCTGTTGTATTTTTCCCACTGAAACCTTCTGTGTGTGAGAAGAGATGGCTATTGAGACACTCCTGGTTCCATAAGAGCCATTCAACTGCAATAAAAGTACATTTTTCTACTCTCCTTCCATGCAGGACTGGAACGTTTTGCTCTGATGAGCGCTGTTTTAAAGCCAAATGCCAATCACATTTGTATCAGCAGCTGCTCGGCTGTAGCAAGTGACTAATTGGGGGATAGCAGTCTTCCCAGCACTGGGAACATAAGAAATATTTGGATTTACATAGCTCTCTGAGTAATTATCAGATTTACTTTAATGTAGAGAGAAATATGAATAGTGCCTCCCAGTAGAACGGTGATGCCTACCTGAGCATCACCACATACTCTAGAGATATTAATTAAGAGATCAGAATCCATTTAGGTGTTGAAGGAGTGTTAGCTGCCTTCCCACACCATGTATGCACTGGCTGCCACCCTGAGCCTGGTAAGCTTTGGGACAGACAAACCAAGTCCCCAAGAAACCAGAGGGATGCCCCGGTCTCTGACCCAGCAGCGGCTGCTGCTCTCACCTGGCTCCTCTCCCGCACCTTGCAGGTGTGATCCGGTGCGTGGTGCTGCTCATCACGCTGCTGGGCACATGGTTCATCATGCAGACGTACTTCCACCACAGCTGGAAAGCCATCAGGCTGCGGAGCTGGCTCGGTGAGGCACCAACGGGGCTCCAGCCGGATTCAGAGGGAGGGTGCAAGAGATTCCATTGCAAGCCAGCCCCCAGAGCTGGATATAGTTGCCACAAATATTTGCACTTGCAATCTCTGGCCAAGGCTATAGCCACTAGCTCTGGCCACCTGGCCAGGGAGGGGACAGCATGGTGGGAATCTGCACCGGGGCAGTGTGGGGCCAGGGATGCCTGCAGCCACAGGAACCAGTTCTGGGGAGCTGGTGCCTGAACAGCTGCTCCTGGCTTGGGGAAAAGCCAGCTGCTCTCTGAGGTGTCTAACCCTCCTGCTTGATACCCACAGGTGCCACGAAGAAGCCCAGCAGTGAGTACCGCTCTCAACTTCATCTCTGTCGCACAGCTCTGCTCCAGGGTTGAGGGTGATGGTGGATGCCTGATAGCTGCCCTCAGAGCCCCTTGCCCAAGGCAAAATTCCCACCCTCCCATGCACAGGAGGATTTTGCAGCAGTGGGGTTTTGGCGGGCTCTGCGAGCACACAAACCTTCACGCAATCGCCCTGCCCCAGCAGAAACACCCCCAGGGCACAGAAGGAAGGTCACGGGTCCCTGCTAGGTGGGTCCCCCCGCCTTGGCAAAGAATGGGGAAGCTCTGGGCAGAAAAGCCCTGAGGGGCTGGCCTTGGATGCCAACTCCAAATGCTGCTGGTACACACCCCTGATCGCTATGGCATCAGCAACGCCATCCTGCTGCTCACACTCAGATCAGCACCTGGCAGCACCAGCTCATGCCTGCCACCCTAAGCCTCAGCACCGTAAACCTCAAACATAAAGCTGGTCCCAGCACCAGGACAAGCCTCCTTCATGCAAGAAGCCGGTCCAGGTGTTGCCCCCTTAGAGGTCCACTGTCCCCAGTTCCAGCTCTGCTCAGCCACTCAGGGGCACGGCCTGGGTCCCCCCGTGGGGCCAACGCCATGGCTTGCAGCTCCGCTTCTCCCTTGCAGGTGAGAAGCTGCCCCGGCACAAGTGTGGGAACCAGAAGAGCTGCCCCAAGAATTATTTTGCCTTCAAGATCGTCAGTGGTGCCGCAAACGTGGTGGGACCCTCCATCTGCTTCGAAGGCTTGGTGTAAGTAGCACAAGGCAGGAACAGAGCAGCTGTGGCTGGCCTGGCCTTCAATTTGGCCTCTGCCAAGCCTGTCAATGGCTGTCACAGTGTATTTGTGGTTTAAAAATAACTCTGTAAATAGATTTCTTTCTTACCACTTCTGGGGTATCTTGCTGTCTCCAGCTTCTTTGCCCCATCACAGTTTCACTGGCATCAGCACCTCCAAGGCATCCCTGCATTCACTGTGCTCTCTGCTTTCCTTTCCAGCCTCATGAGCAGCGTCAAAAACAACATTGGCAGAGGCCTGAACATCGCACTGGTGAATGGTGAGTCGGGTGGGCACTGACCCCTTTCTCCCCACGGCTGGGTTTCCTTCCTCCACCAGGAGAGAACAGGCCACTGGGGACCCCATCCCAGGCACTGTGCCTGAGCCAAAAGCACGTCCATCTGTTGTTGCATGGGGCACACAGACACAGTTATGGTTGCAAGCACTGCCAGTGAGAAGAGAGCAAACCCACCTGGGTCATGCATGACAGTTCCACAAACTCCTCCAAGCAACACAGAAGATATGACACACTGAGGGAAGAGCAAAGCATTTGGAGCAAGAACCCCAGGCCCATGACCAGGCAAAGCCTAGAGCCACCCCAGTGCAAACTCACTGTGCTCTGTTTTCAATTTTAACCTTTCAGGAACAACTGGGCAGCTCCTGAAGACCGACTCATTTGACATGTACTCTGGAGGTGAGCACTGTCACTGCTGCTTGGTGGTTCCCAGCCAGGGCTCACACCTACACTGCTGGATGCTGGCTACTTCAGCTGCTCCTCTGTCATGTATTTAGCCATAAATTTGAGTGGACTTTGACTAGAATTGTCAGCCTAGGTGGGGTAAAAGCCCAGCTTTCCCTGAGTCCATCAAGCCTGGAGTCCTCACAATGCATCTGCATGGAAGACTGGCTTCTCACTCCTTTTACGTGCACCCAGTAGCCTGGAAAACATAATCTCACTACCCTGATTAGACCAGGGCACTTGAGATTTCAGAAAGGTACTTTCTGACATAAGGTAGTTACACTAATCCTGATATTTTGCAACTTTTTGAATGCCAGTGGTGGCTGAGCAGGAGTTTGTTTCCCTGCCTTTCATGGAAGGATAAATGAGGAGCTCAGGGTGTGGCAGGGAGACACGGCCCCCAAGCCCAGCAAGGCTGGGCACACGGAGCAGAGGCTGGTGGCAGCAAAGACCTGTGCCTGCTGCCTTCAGACAATATTCCTAGCAGCAAATAGATGCCCTGAGCCAGGGCAGCACCCGGCTGACACTGACCCATGCTGGATGCTGAAAATCCCACCGCTGTTGCAAAGCTGTTACCAAATCACTCCTCAGTTTTGGCAGGACTCATCAAAAACCACATGTTAAAATCACCCTTGTAGTCCTTTCGATTTTCCCTTTCCTGTTCAAGCCTTCCCTAGAGATCAATCCCCCTCTATGCTCCTTGACTTTGCAACTTATTTTTGATAACTCTGGATTTTTAAGGAGAATCGCCAGTGTAATGGTATTTCCAGCTGAGTTTGTCAGCAAGATGCTCGTAGGAGAGGCACTGGGAACGAGAAGGCAGTCAGCTCCTGTGCCACTAGATGGGGCATTGGATTCAAGCATCCCACGGCTGCGGGATGAGGAATCATTCCCTCAATACAGCCATGGCTGCAGGGCAGGCAGCTCTGTGCCTGGGCATGTTCATTTCTTGGGTCAGGAAGTAAATTCACGTAACTAGATTTCAGAGTTAGTGAGCAAAGTTTAGAAGCAATCCCCCCCCTGCAGTTGTACTGAGGGGACGACATCAGTCCTGGGCACTGTGGGAAACCTCGGGTGGGAATGCAGGATGGGGAATGCAGCATCTGGGAGCCCACCCTTCCCCAAGTCCATGGCCCCAAATCCTGGCTAGCACCTGCATTTTCCCACTGACCAAGGGGAGGCTCCCCCAGGTACCACACAGCAGTCCCTGCTAAATCCCTTTTTCTCTCCCTAATGCTCTTCTCTCCCAGACATTAAAAATCTGGAAAACTTCCTCCAAAGGATCAAGCGTGGCACCCTCGTGCTGACAGCAAGCTACGATGATCCTGCCACAAAGTGAGTTTGCCCGTAGGGGCAACACTAGGCTCCCCAAAAACCTGCAGCTGGGGGACCTGCCAGCAGCAGAGAGGGACAGGAGGGGACACCCCCCTGGCAGCGCACTGCCACCCTCCTACCCTCTTTCAGGATGACTGACAGCGTACGGGCACATTTCATGGAGCTGGGCAGCAGCCACGTGAGTGAGCTGGGCTTCCGGGACAACTGGATCTTCTTGGGAGCAAAAGGGCTGATGAGCAAGACCCCCTTTGAAAAGGTATGTGGTCCTCTCCTGACACCAGCTCTGGAGGCTCCATCCTCTTCATAGCACCTCCCAAGCTACATCTCACCTACCTGTCTGCAGAAGACAAGGGCCAGTGGCCTTATCCTCCACCACAAGCCAAGCTGCAATTTCTGCCACGTCACAAACTTGCACTATGCCACCAACCTCCTCATTCATTTTCTTTCTCTCTTTTTTCCTGCAGCACATCAAAAATGATAAGGAGACAAATAAATATGACGGCTGGCCTGAGCTGCTGGAGATGGAGGGCTGTGCCCCCAGGAAGATGGATTAGCATCAATCTCCAGCCTGCCACACAGGGCAGCCGCCACCCATTACACCAGCTCCATCGTGGGGATCCCAGCCCCTCCACATCCCGGTCACACAGCCCAGCAACCACTGCCTGCTCCCAGGAACCGGCTGCTTCACAGCGGGAACTGTGCAGGGTTTGGAGAAGAGCTGCACAAGTGTCTGGAGAGCCTGAGCAAACGCCTGGCCAGGTTTCAGCCAAGCTGTCCTCCTCTAGGGGCCAATTTGGGGTATTTTATTTTTCTATCTTTAAACTAAAAACTTTGTGAATGTTTTTTAAATTTCTTAAATGAGATTTCTAATTATAAAACACTACCTTCTCATTTCCATTTTCAAGCATAATCTACACTTTCCCCCACAGGCACAGCATGCCGGGTCCTCTGCCACCAGTCGAGCATCACCATCACCCATTGCATAGCCCTGCACATGGGTGCTCCCCCTCCCCACATGGCACAGGGTACAGTCATCCCAAGCTCAGACCTTGGTGGTTTTCCCCTGGAACTCTTGCCAATGCCCCACAATCTCCTACAGCCACAATAAGGTCAGAAGTCCACAGGGATGGCATGCAGCAATGTAGGTTAATATCTGCAAACCAAAGCATTTTCCCCACCTGGTTACATCTTTCCTGGGTTAAATCCAAGCTAAATCTTCTGTGACACATCCCCATCAGGATAATGCCAGGGATGTGCTGACCTGACTTTGGCCTCAGAGAGAGATGGTTGGATGAATGTGCAGGTGTTTAGGGTAGCTGAAGTTGTGCAGCATAACCAATAGGTGGGAGCCTTTTACCAGGAGAGACGGAGTCAACGTCACTCTGGAGCGATATAATGCACCCAGGCTGGCACCCCCCTGCAGGCACCCACACACCTGCTTTGCTCCAGGAACTGCACCCCAACCTGGAGCCAGCCAACACTACCAGGAAGGGAAAGATCCCTGCCCAAAGGCAGGCTGGAAAAGCCACACAGTCCTCCTCCTGGAGTGGTTCCTAGGCTGCTGCCCAGTGCTGAGCAGATCCTGGGGGAGCATCTGCCCTCACTCACGTCTGGATGCATCACTCAAGCACAGTCTGTTCCCAAACCCTCCCTGAGCACCAGCACTGCTGAGATCAGAGGAGCTGTGCCGGTGACAGACGGGCTTATCTGTCATCACCGACAGGGATGAATTTGCATCATGTACAGACTTTAATTTCCGATGATTGTATCTGGGTTTTCCCCATTCTTTGAAGCAGACCAGCAGTTTTCATAACATGATGGTGGAGCATTTCTGCTGGAGCATTTGGAGCTGCGTGGGGTAACAGGCTGTCCTGCATGGTCTTCTCTGCCTCTGACAGCCTCAGCACAGCTCCTGACAGGCAGTTCACAGAGTCATCCGAGCCCTCAGGTCACCCCAGAGCCACAGAAGTGAGGAGCATTGGCAGGGTAAGGCCATGAAAGGACACAGCCTGTCCCGTGTTAGCCACCTGAGTGATGAAACCCTGGATCCAAAACCCAACGCCACCAATAAATTGGTTTTCCCTACACAAGGAAAAATCCCTGAATAAATTGTCTGACACCTGTAAGAACTTCCAAAGGCAAAACTGAAATAAAACCCCAAAACAACCACCAGAGGAATCCCCCAAGAGGTGTAGTATTTTATCCCAGCTTATCCTCCCACGCTCTTAACACACACCTGATGGCACAGAGGGAAGCCTCTGCCATAAATCGATCCCTAAATCTGCTGCAACAACAGTGGTTAATCCCAAACGCTGAATCATCCCTACCCGTGGCAGCAGTGAGAAATAACACATGGCAGCAGACACAACAGCCCTCACATCACACAGCCCCACCGTGCTGCCAGCATAAATATGCCAACTATTTTAAGCCCCCTCAAAGGATCTAGATTCACTCATAAACCAAACTCAAAACAGCCCAAGAGCTGTAAAGGTGGCTGCATGGGGTAAACCAGAGCACAGAGTCAACTACAGCCCTGAAAACAACCGGCCCCTTTCAGCTGCAGGAAACTCTTCCTAACGCTTTGCAATGCGCATTAGAAATATGGTTTAGAGCCAAAATAAAGGTAATTTATGTTTCGGCACACTACAGGCAGTTAAAACTAGCTCTGAATCCATCATGGAGCAGTTACTAAGGTACATCACTATTTGTAAGAAATAGAGAGCTAAAAGTAAAACTCCTGTGCAGGGATCTTCAGTAGCAGCCAGTGTTTTGAAGAGCCATTCCTGCCAAAGTCCCTGTGTCCTGATAAATAAATCACTGCTTTCAAATACCCAGAAACTGGGAGGCAGAGTATAAGTATGGATTCAGGAGTCAAATTGAACTTGCTATTTTTTTTTTTTAGAAGATCTGAAAAGGATGGTGGGTGCAGGGACACCAATCCTCAAATAAGGCTTTCCAGTGCCTTGGCATATTGAAAGCTGTATTACTGAGGGGACAGGCACCTACCTGGCTGGTTTTCACTGTGCCACATCCCCCAGAATCTTCACCAAACACAAGCCTGATCTGCCCAGCCTCCTAGAATGCAGCTTCAGGTAATCTGGCTCACCTGAGGCTCCAACGCTGCAGTAGCAATGAGGCAGCCTGGGGTGTTTGCAGGAGCAAAGTTTGCAAAATCCAGTGCTGCAACAGGAGCCAAGAGCCAGGATGCAGACACGTAGCAGAGGGATAATCCTCCTTTATTTTTTGGTGTTTATTTCAGCAAAGCACCAAAGGAGCATCGAGGAAAGATGCCACAGGCAAGGACCTGCGGGTGCCGGGCCCGCAGCTGGGCGAATCCGCATCCTGTGACATCTTGCCCTGTCAAGTGCAATTACTGTAATCTTCCACAGCCTCTCAAAATACGGATCCCGGCTTAGAAACCGGGCATCCACAGCATGAAAGCTGCCTTTGTGCCCGGGCAGAGCCTGGGTGCGAGCCAGCCTTTAGGTGCATGAAGAAAATGAGTTCTCCACGTGCTGGAAGAAGGGAGGAAAAGCAAGCTTTCCCGCCCGACCCCACCACAGACAGGCTGGATTTCACCCACGTCTCCCCGCAGCAGCCACCGAGGGGCCGGGAGCTGCACAGCTGCCTATCCCCCCGGGAGTAACGGAGCCGTGACCGCAGAGAGCTGGCCGGTCCCCTACCCCGGAGAGTGGAGCACAGCCAACACCTCCGGCCATGGGGGCGTCTCACGGGAAAAAGGTAACGGGGCAGTTTTATTCAGGGCTGTGGTGGTGGGAGGATGGAGAAGGCACCATCTGCTCACGTGGTGCTTGTTTTGCCCCGCGCGTGCTAAGGCGGCTGATGGCAGCGAGGGATTAGAGGGGAAGGGACCCGCTCCTGGGTGTGGGTGCCACTCATCAGGGCCGGATTAAGTAATTCCATCTAATGGGCTCAGCACTAGGGCCTGCTGGGCTTTTCAGGACAGTGAGGAGGGGATCAGAGCATTGCAATAGGACAGACAAAGTTTGACTTTTCTGGGGAGAAACATCAGGTTTGTTCCGAGTGTGTTAGGCAACCTGCAGGCTGTCTCCCATGGGTGCAGTACAGAACAAGCCCTGAGCGTTTCTTGGCCTGGGAATTGCTGCCAGCTCCGTCCCAGGACAGGGAGGAGCTGGGTCAGGTCCTCACAGCACCCACATGTATCTCCCTCTCCTCCAAATCCCCTGGGGTGAGCGGTCAAACAGCTCCAAATGGAAACAGTGTTTTATGAAGACAGAGCTCTGTGGAGGCAGCTAGAGATGGTTGTGCTGAGGATACTGTGAGATGTCATTTTGCTTTCATGGCTGATGACATCAGTGCCTAGAGACGCGTCATCACCATTCAGCGTGGTGCCCTGACCTGGAATTAGACTGCCCTAGTTCATCTCCCAGCTCTAAGAGAAACACACTTGTGCGCCACACTAGGTCAGTAATTTCAACTGGAATGGGGACAGCAGTGGCCCTTTGCTGCAGGAGGGACCTTTCATGCTCAGCTGAGCATGGCTGTGGCCTTCAGCTGTGTGGGCATTCCAAACCAGGTGCCTTGCAGAATTTCACAAACTTGCTGGACTTTCTTCCAAACTAGAGATAGGCTCTTGCAGGGAAAACATGCAAAAAGCAACCCACTGGCCAGTGTGACCAACACCCAGAAGGAAAATCAGAGGTGAAATGGGACTAGTAAACATTTACCTATTTTTCTGGACTTACAACAAGTGCCAGGTACGGGAGGTGCCGCTGCCAGCCAGCTCCCTGCCTCTCCAACACCCACCCGAGGTGCCAATGCCACACTGACTGCAGCACACAGGGGAGCCGTGGTTGTTCCCAGGGCTCAGGGCTACAACAACACACCCAGGAGGAGCCATGCTCTGCCCACAGCTAATCCCTAGACCCCTGCTCACGTGGCTGTGACCTTCAGGCCCCGGCGCATTTGTACAGGCATTACTGGAAGCAGGGAAATAAGCTGGTTAGGTCAGGCTTGGCTCAGCGCCACCTGGTTAAGCCCTGTGCATACAAAGCAGTCCACGCCAGCCTCCTGACCACCAGACCAGACGGCTTTTGGACAGCTTTCCCGACTGTTCCCTCTCTCTGAAACACCACGATCCCACTGCAGCCCGGCACTGAATGGCCTGGCTTTGAAACACTGCCGGGGATCTCGGGCTCTCCCATCTCACCAGCTTGCTGGAAGCTCCAAAAAGCTCTGAGACAGTTTTATTTTCATGGGTACCAAAAGGTCAGAGATGTCACTCCCATTTCAGCCTCTCAAATGTTGCCTGGGTTGACAAAAGCCTGTGCCACTGCCCAGCTGGCACTAAGCAGGGATGTCTGACTGGCAGCTCCTGGGTCAGTGCTTTACCCTTAGGCTGATGCTGATGGGGGATGAAAACAAGACAGCTCCTTCTGCTGCCTTTCCAGGGTGGGCATGAAAGCAGGATCCAGCCCTCCTGAGGACCAGCTTGGGCCTGGGTGACAGGCAGAAAATCTCCTTCCCTCAGCCCTTGCAGAACCAGCACAGCTCAGGACACAGGGACCTGACA